AGATCTGCGTTTACCTGCAGCTCCTAAATGTATTATTCATAGGAAAGATATTGACTTCGAGGTCAGCTGGGCTTGATCGTGCGGCCAATTGGGAATGGGCCGGGTTCATTCTTGCTACAAAAAAGGTACATTTTGATTTCGCCCCCAGGTCATGTGTACATAATGCAGGCTATTATACGTGAATTAAAAACGTGCTCTCTGTGTTGGAGGTATGTACGCATTGCCTCTCCATTATACTCGGCAGTTCGCACAAAAGGGAATGCATCTACACGAAAGATAACACTCACCATAGATCCCATGCACCGTTGTGTTTCCGCTTAAACTTACAAATGTTAAAACAAATGTGATTGTTTTAGTTTAAACGGCATTGTCGAGTAGCACTACAATTTACGGCAAACCAGTAAATGGGAGCTACTGTATGTCTCTAATGGATATATACAACCTCCAAACAGTGTGTTTCTTCTCCCTACTAGTCCATGAAAACAAAATAGTGTTTACAGGAAAATGAATAGAATGGCAGTGTTGCTCCAGCGCACAATATGTTCATTAAGACATGGCGAAGAAACCATGAGTGGGGTTTGCTCGCTTCCCATGCGTAGAGCGGCTGGCGTTCTTTGCTTAACTCTGGCATTCTCTTTTTTAAATCCTTTATATTAAGTTTGCTTGCTTGCGTGCTTGCTTGCTTACGACCGTGCAAATCTTTCGGTCGTTTTTTAACCCACTTCCCATGATCCAATTGAGCTGACATTTTCCACACAGACTTGTTGTGCGTGACAATTAATTTTCGTGAAAATTTTTTCCCCAAAATTTTACACTGTTTAGGGAATTTTAAAAAAAATATTTAATTATCAATTGCTTAATGCTGGCAGACAATCATCTGACCCATAGGTGGCAGCCATCTCAAGCCAGAGGACGAGAGGACTCTAGCCGCCACGCATATAAAGGACTTAGAGTGAAAAACTTTGTTTTTACGGGTTAATTTTTTTGTGGCCATGGACCTGGGAAGCGTGTTATATGATACGGTAGAAAAAAAATCAACACATTCGTAAATAACACTGTGATCTTAAAAGGAAATATGTTATCGGTGAATTACGGGCAATTGTCATTCATGTGCTATGAGGAAGGGCCATTTCCCAACACGTCGTTTATGATGTTATTTTTGTTACTTTGGGGCAGTATTATCGATGAGTGTGGGATTGTGTGTGTGTTATTTCTGTGTCCTTGTGCACCACTGCCAACGTAGGCAGCAATTACGAAAATAATTTGTGTCGACGGAATGTGGACAAACTCATCCAAATCTTCTCCTTCCAAATGTAATAACACGGTTTATATTCACGTAAACAAAGCAGTGCACGCATCTGTCATGCCAAGCATCCCATTAACCAGTCCCGATTTCCTACTCGTCATCTGTCTCGCTTTGCGACACCAACCTCATTTGCTATGGTAGAGGGATAGTGTGAGGAGCATGCCTCCACTTAACATGGGCGCCACGGTGGCGAGATGTTAACTGCCTCGCCTGCTATACAGAAGGATCGTGGTTTCGATCCCAATCCTGATGCCTGTATATTTGGAGTTTGCATGTCCTTTTCTCCCCGTGGTCCTCCGGTTTTCCCCCTGCCACATTTAGAAACATGCGTTTACAGTATTTGGCTGCTGCCTTACATGTTTAATGTGATAAGCCACTTTGTTGAGCTCCCGTTTGTGGCCAGAAGCGACCTGGCCACAACTGGGAGCTGGTAAAATAGAAAAGCAGTTTATGAATACGGGTGTATGGGTGTCGCCAACGACAAAGCCATCCACAAGAGGTCGCCATAACTCCACGTACCGACAAGGTGAAGCGAGAGAAATCTTGCTTGTTTACCCCGTAAAGTCACAAGTCTCATGACTTTTTTTTCTGGCGTTTTTGTTGTTGTTGCCAAGTTGCTCGCTAATAGGGGGGGGGGGGGGAGCATGGTTGCTCTTGTATAATTCAAATTGAGTAAAATTGTGGGTGCACATGTTCACATTTGGATATATCTGCATCACGTAATTCGGCGTTTAAAGTAAAACGTGTGCTGCATTTGTGCGTGTGAAAATACACATCTGTGCAGTGTGTTTGAAGATATTTCGATTATTGTTTGTTTAAGTGAGCAGCGTGACAAATATCTACCCAATTTAGAGGGTTAGGGGCCGTCCATAAATGACGTCACGCGATTTTTGACGATTTTTGACCCCCCCCCCCCGTCGTCACACGGGGTCACAAAAAGTCAGACCCCCCCTCAAATATGACGTCACAAAGCTCTGCCCCCCCCCCCCCAAATAAAACATGCTTCAAATCGCTTCAAATTAGTGTCTTTGTAGTGCGTATTTAATGTGGCGCTGCACTCTGATGTTGTAGGAGAAAACATGTATTAAAACGTCTATGTAATTAAGTAGAACGTGTTGTCTATATTTATTTAAAGTTACGCATTTTGATGCGACGTCACATTTCCCAAACCCCCTCCCCTCGTCACACATCGTCACATATGTCTGACGACCCCCCCCCCTAGGTGCGTGACGTCATTTATGGACGGCCCCTTAGGTCCTTGCTACCAAAGGCCCCTAAACTCACCCATTCGCGTGAAATCTCACAAGGCGAGTGCGAAAGGTTTTGTTATTTCTTCCGATCGGGTCGTCATGGAAAATTTCATGCATCTCTATCTCGCTCCGATCTGCCGAGAAGATTTCGGGAGATCGGCTTAACATTGCCCCAATCACGATCGATCGAGATGAAAGTCCGATTTCGTAACACGACCATTGCTCTTTGGTAAAGTCACGTAGAAAGAAATTTTATTAAATTATAGAATACGACGTTTCGATCGCAACACAAGCAGTCGTCATTAGGTAGAACTCAATTTGAGAGAGAGAGAGACTAAACACAGACACGGAGACACACAGACAGACATACAAGCCGAGAGAGAGAGACAATACAGAGACATGCTCTTAGTTCTTTCGGTAAAGTCACGTAGGTAAAAAAATTACTTTACCGAAAGAACTAAGAGTATGAATCCTTGCAGTCACGAAAGCTTCAAATCTAGAATGAATACAGAGACACAGAGAGAGAGAGAGAGACACGCACAGCATTGCTTTGGAGTTAATCTTGTTTCTTTTGGGTTTTTTGTTGTTGTTGAAAAATCCAGGTGTACATTTTGCGTGGAGAGAAACTCTTAAAACGTTAATAAGACACGGAACATCCAGAGGCTCCAAGTGACACAATGAGCGAAGAGTGTTTTCATTCACACCGTCGGCGGCAAGCAGAGGGCGGTGTCGCGGAATTAATTGTGCTGTATTATGCTCGCACATCAATGATGCATTGTATCCCTTTCATTAAAGGCATTATTAGGCAAACATCCCCAATGTGCAGGCTCCTCCTGAGGCTTTTCTTGGTTAAATTATCCCCCCCACACAAGTAGCAACGAGGTGTTTTTCTAGCATTCTGTGACTGGCTAATATTTTATATACTGTACATTACTTACAAAATGGGTCCACTGACTAAAGATAATTTCAATATTTCCTTCAACGTCTGGAAGCTAAACATTTTGGCCGTGTGGTGCAGTGGTTTGCACACACAGCTTCACAATCTGAAAGCTTGCGAGTTGAAATCCTGGTTGGGGATCCAACTTGGTCTTTCTCTGCACTGAGGTCGACAAAGTGAGTATCATTCTTCACCTGATGACGGCTGCTTGCGTTGTGGCCGAAACGTCGTGAGAATTATTTTATTATGTTTTATTTTTATTATTTTATTACTTCCCTTCTACGTGACTTTACCGAAAGAACCAAGAAGATGAATCCCTGCAGTCACGAAAGCTTTAAATCGAAAAATGAGTATCACTTTGTTGGAAATCGACAGTGGTGGCCTGCGTGGATAGGCTTGCCTCTGCCACAGCAATGTGGAATTTTGTGTGAGCAGTTAAACTACTTTGAAAGCAATCGACAATCATCTGCCCTGACATTTTTCCTCGGGTGTCCATTGAAAACGAGATGTTAATATTTCTGACATGGGATTAGAGAACACTGAATTTATTTGCATTTTATAACCTATAAACTATGTGTAGTTATATTGTAGTATACTGTTAAAATGCAATTTACTATTCATAAAGCAACCTGCCTATGACCCACTCACTACCTAGGATGTACCCAATCTCGTCACATCCCAAGCAGAGCTGAGTGGCTTCTGCTTGAGAAGGTTTACCGCCGTACAAGAACATCTGTTTACAGCCTGCAGGGTTAATGCGATGGAGACGACCCTACTGTTGTACTGTATGATGTCTGTATGCCTATACTCCCCGCCTTCTGAATCGTACCTGGGTCCTCACCCCCATTCCACCAACCCGTACTTGAAGTACATCCAAACAGACGGCGTGGAGGAAGCCCTCATACAACACTCGTTTGACAAAGGACTCTCTACTCGTACGAAGAAAGCAGTCATTTATAATAGTTTTTATACTCCTCTACCTACGAACGAGTTATGTTTCAAAGGTATGTTCGTAAGTCGAGTTGTTCGTAAGTTCAACTTTACTCCTGTCGATTCCAACCATGTTGTACGTCTTGTACACTAAACACGGAGAATGGCTTTAAAAGTTGTATAATCTCCTGTAGATGTAGATGCCACCACCCACCATCTATTGCGCGGCAATTGGACTTGCGACTCTCGGTCCGAACAGGCAACTGGACATACGGGACAGGTTTGTTTGTATCTCTGAAAGTTAGTAAGTGGAATATTCGCAAGTAGAGGAGTCCCTGTGTATCTTGATTTGCACAAACATCTGAACAATAGTGAACATGTGCATTCCTTCCTTGCTTGGGTGTACATCACTATTGAAAGGTCTGTGTGACACTGATGAGCACAGGATGTGAACGCTATTGGGTCTCGCATTTCCTTGTGTGCGAGTCACGCTTGCTGCCACACACGCCCACCATTTCCTCTTAAGCTCTCACTGGCAATGCCGTGCTTTTTACATTGATCAATGGACAAACGAGACCACATTTGAAGACATTTATTTCACAGTAGCTGATTGTAAAGTTGACAAACAATTAACACCCCCCCCCCTTCCACGTAAAATAATTCCATGAAAGCACCTCAAAACATATTACCATTTTACTCATTGTAACCATGAAAGCAAAATAAATAAATTTCGATTTAAAGCTTTCGTGACTGCAGGGATTCATCGTCTTGGTTCTTTCGGTAAAGTCTCACTGGTGAGAATTGTATTTTATTATGCTTTATTATTTTTATTATTATTATTTCCCTTCTACGTGACTTTACCGAAAGAACCAAGAAGACAAAATAAATAAATCACAGTTTCATTTTCGTACAGGGATGCTGTATAGCAGCGGAGCAATACAACACACGTAATAACTGCCAAGATATCTCGCCCCGAAGAAAAATACACGATTCTGTGTAACTCGAGGCGCTGGAAACGAGTTCAACAGCCACAACGCGCTCCGTGGGTTTGAGGAGGCTGCAGTCTTTGAGCTCTCTTACGTTTTGAAACTCCACGCTGTGTTTATTGCCGTACGACGCCCGTGCATACTAATGCTAACCATTTGCATTCAAGATGCACGGCTATGTAAAATACACGCAATCTTTAATGTATTAGGGTACATTACGTACAATTGCTCAGAATGTTTGTAAATGTTTGAAAATGTTTGATTTTATATATATTTACAACTGCTTTGGCGGTGGAATAAATAAATAGGGAGTTAAAATGTCGAGTTGACCGGAAAATAAACAGGATTTGGCCAAGAAGACCCCTTTATGAGAAATGAGGCTTTACTGAGGCCTTATGATGACTCCCTTGACCCAACTCATCCTTTGTCCCCGTCATATTGATTACCTTGTATATTATTACTAATTGCACCACAGCCTGTGTTTACTCATTGGAGAGGCGGTGGGGGGAGTTATTTGGCATCTTGTGGCCATGCATACTTGAGAACGGCAGTGGGATTTGGACATCCCTGAGCGAAAAAAAAAATTGTGCATTCCACAATTGAACTGCAAATGTGTGTGTGTGTCTGTAATAATGACTGCCGATGGTGCAGACGGAGCTAATGCCACTTTTGGACGTTTGTATATCATCATCGCGTAACTGTGGCCATGTCAAATTGCCACACAGGTAAGAAATAACTTGTACAGCTCTCCGATGTGGTGATGGGGTTGTACCGCGCGTTTTTGTTCGGCACGATGTCCGAAGTGTTAGCGCCACTTGCTTGGAGCTTCTTTGGGAACTGAATTAGATTTTTTTTAATATGCACTGAATGTTGTTCCTGAAAGAGAACCTCCCCACCACACGGCGCGAAACGTTGGACATCGCGCCGAACAGAACGCAGTTCAAACCATCAACCTCATTCGCGTGCTATATACAGCGCGATCTCGACATCATTGTACGTAATTTGTACGTCTGTGTGCTTAAATGCGAGTAATTGACCAATACAAGTTATGCAGATATAGATAATTGTGCATTAACACCCGTGAAAGTAACACCTGCAGTTTGTCGACCAGATTTGACCAAAAGCATAGCGACACGTGGGGATCGCCTGCCTTCGATCCGTTGTAGCTGACAGAGCAGAGGCTTCTGCCCACAAAATGCCCCAAGCCTGCCACGGGGCTGTGCTGGAGGTGAAATTTCCAGATTGAAAGGGTCAAAACTCGACCTCGACAATTGAAAATGACAGCTTCTCCACAACGGCAGCTGCGTTGGGTTGAAAGCACCCGGCCATTCCACTTTCCACAACCCTGACAGTTTAAGTTCCAGTTGTTAGCTAACCCTTTCTCTCTCTCTCTCTTAGAATTGTTTGGTTTTAACACAACAGTTTTATTTCAAAAATAAAACATTCGAAGGGTATTTTATTATTATAGTTGCCATGCTGCATCATTTAACCTCCATTCCAGAGTATTTCATTTGATATCAAAAAAATTGACAAAAGGATAAACGTTGGTGTTTAACAATTTGCCTTACCGTTTGCAAAGTCAAACCTATTATATTATGTACACGCACATATTGTATATATATACAACGATGGTTCCATGCTCACACACAGTCGAATATCGAGGTGGCCAGCACCACAGATTTAATTCACTGCACCAGCTAATAATTTAGGGCTGATGCTATCTTTTCGCGTTGTAAATTGAACTCAGGTTATCCGGTTCGTATCGCAATGCACTTACCACTGCCATCCGCACTCCCCCCCCCCTGTATACATATATGATAATTATTTCCTGTTATATACGAATTACACATGATGCACGGATTTGTTGATGACGTAAACGGGGGCGCTAAGCAATGCAACTAAGTTTGCACGGTTGGCTATAACTTGCATGATGTTATCGATGCAGTCTTGATAAAAAAAAAACTCACAATATTCTTGTGTAAATGTTCGCGCACGGGTTTGTTCTTGGACATGCGATCCCCGCAGACAGAAACTGTGACTTGGAGATATCTGGGTCTTGACAGATTTATTCGACACGCAGCTTTTGTAAGCCAGTAGTTTAGGTGACCGTGTCATTGGACCTTTCTTTTGGACAAGCGATGCAGTTAATGAAGGCATAAATCCCATATCCGATCATGATGAGTGGTGACAAGGCGACCAACAATATCGCGAAGAGCACCCATAGCACAGTCTTTCCAAATCTGAAAAATCTCTCCTTGTGTGGATTGGCCTTCTTGGCTGGCGTAACACTTGCAGTTACACGCTGTTGTTGCTGCTGCTGCTGATGATGATGATTGTATTGCTGCTGAGAATCATGAACGTAAGTCTCGTTTGATACCCAAGCGCTGGCTTTCCTGCCGAGTGTGAGAATGTAAGATTCGGTGTCGTTTATGATTGAACTTTGAACAGACAGGCTGTCAGCGCCAAGCGAATTCCGAAAACTTTTCCAGTGACTTAAGCGCACAGACCCATTGGTCGGCCGCACCTCTTGCGTGACAGAACCTTGTCGTTGCTCCAGCGAAACTTTGTGTGCTCCGTCAGGGGCTGTGTCGCCGTTTTTGGAGCAAGGTGGACGTTCATCGAACGAAAGTTTGTCCGATTGCACAGTCGGAGTGGCCCGTTGATACGCAGCCTCCAGCAACAGATCGCAGTCGATCACAATGGTGTTTGGAAGCTGGTCCACACTTAAAGTGGCATCGGCGTTCCGCTCTGCTGACAAGTCCACAAAGACGTTGCCGGGCTCCACGAACGATATTTCAACAGCGTCGTCAGCCCGCGGTGCGTTTTCGGCAAGTTTGTAACGCGATGGTGTTTCGTGCGAGCCATGTTCATTCTCTCGGTCAGGTGGCACGGGACCAGCGTTGACACTGATTTCGGACGTGTTCACAACGACGGTCTCCGAAACGCGCGCCTGCTCACTGGCGCAGTTCGCAGGCGGCGGTGTTTCGTCGAGGCTGAGAGTAGACGGACTGGCACCTGCAGGAGATGCGCACGCTGAAAAGGGATTGATGCTCGTCATGGTCAAATCGGCGTCGGCATCTCGACTGCCGCCGCCGACGTCCAAAGTGTGGGCTTCTGCGTCGGCACTGTGGCATTCAGAAGCGTCCGACTCGGACATTGCACCTTCGCGAACAAGCGCTCGTATATGCAACACGTGGCCCAATGGCGAGAACGTAGAAGTCCCCTTGTTTTTGTGTGTTCTTCTTTGCCCTTCAATTCATCAACATGCGCGCATCACCTGAAAGAAAGAAAGGCACAAAACAAGCCGCGCCGTTCAGGCAAAACATTCCACATTCTTACGATACGATTACAGTTATAGCCTCGGTCGCGTTTTTAACGGGTTACAATGTACAGGGTGTACATTGAACTACAACTACTTCTTCAAATCGGAGTCGCTATAGTCATCTCACCAGCTGTCAAGATCTTGTACCGTTGCGAGTCTTTGGAGCATCAACCCAGTGAGTCTTCACCTCCCCAGGTCTCGTAACAGCGACTTGCTTTGCCCTCAAATGCCGTTGGGGGAGTTTTAGTTTGTTCCACCACTGGCTCGCCTGGCATAATAGTAACATTATCATACTGACGCAACCCACGTCACTGATTCCAGTAAAAGGTTTATTTTTAGAACGACACACACACCTCGGCTAACACGCCAGACCAGATTTCTTGTTTACAATGAGCCACGGGCACGAAAAAAAAAGTTTATCAGTCGCGAGGGACTTGGGACGGAGCAGCGGACACTTTTCTAATCTTTGTATGGCTATTTGGCATCGTAAATACAGTGATTGTTTTCGGCGTTTGCTTTAAAAAAGAGGGAGGGAGGGAATTGTATGAGAAATGGCTGAGTGGCTCAGAAGATTAGATATCAAGTAACTGAGCTGGCTACTGCTGAGATGCTGCGATCGAATTGGGGCAGGCGTCCGTGATTAAACTGGCTTTTCAAGTGCAGTATCGGTTGATGGTCGGAGCCAAGTCAGAAAGGGGGAGGTGAAAAAATTAACCCGTAAAAACAAAGTTTTTCACTATAAATCCTTTATATGCGTATTCAATGATGCCACAACCCAGCCCACATTGGTCTTTGAAACGGGCGGCTAGAGTCCTCTCGTCCTCTGGCTTGAGATGATTGCCTGCCACCATTAAGCAATTGGTAATTAAATATTATTATTTTTTACCTAAAACGTGTAAAATAAATTGTCACGCACAACAAGTCTGTGTGCAAAATGTCAGCTCGATTGGATCACGAGAAGTGGGTTAAAAAACGACCGAAAGATTTGCACGGTCGTAAGCGCGCAAGCAAGTGAACTTAATATAAAGGATTTTTAAAAAACCCAGCACTTGACATTTTGGTTCCACACTGAATAGTGGCTAAATTCTAGCTCTGAGAATGAAACATACCAACTTCACTGTCCTGCGACAAAACATTGCTTTTTGTTGCATTGGCAGAGTTGGTGGAAAAGTGATGGTCCCTACCGTCTGGACCAGAGGTCACTTGAAGGGAACTCGGATGTAGTTTTGTACTTATGTTGCACTTCTTTCGCACCATACATAGCCAACCGTGCTAATCGGAGGTGCGGGGAAAGCACAACAAACTAAACACAAAAAGTTTTCAAGAAATCAGTTTTCAATCTAGCTTTAAAAGTGCATCGCTCTGGTGGCCTCCTAATATCAGAAGGATGAACGTTCCAGACGGCCGTAGAAGCGCATCCGAAAGCACGCGTTGCGGTGGCCACCGTCTTTCTTCGATGGTTAGCCAAATGCCGCTGTTGCGAGGATGACCGGAGTCCACGTGGTGGTTGATGTTGTGGCCCGCACTCTTAGCACGAAGCGTCGCATTGCTCTGTGAGAGATCCGAATGGATGCTTCGTCTCGTGACGCCGACACCAATAGCACAATCGCTATAAATTTGAGGTTAAACAACACGAAAAAAGAAGACAAACAATAAACAAAAAATTGTACGTAACCCGATTGCGTCTCTTCAAAGTTCAGTCTGGTTATTATGGCGAACTCATGCCTCCTGGCATACCTTGACATTTGCATTTCGAGACATTTTAAAATCGTTGCTTCCTGAAGAAGAAAAATGGGATGCTGCCGTGCTGTAATGGTTAGCACACTGGACTTGCATTCCAGAGGTCAAAGGTTCAATCTCTTGGCGCGGCAGCTGAAACAATGGTCATGTTTCTTGAATCTCCCCCCCGCGCCCCCCGCCTCTGTACAACCAGCAGTATGAGTCTACCACAGCGGATCGTGTGGTGGTGGTGGGGGGGCATCGTGGGTATTTTACACCTTTTGCAAGACATCTGGACAGCGTGTGAGAGTTGTGTCAAAAAAACACTCTCCGTAGGGGCTTGCAAGAGCTCCCTCTTGTGGATGCCCTTCCAGTGACAACGACTTACTTCAACGCGATGTAATTCCACGTGTTTCAGACCGTGCGGTGTCATATTGAACACGTGAGTAAAAGAAAAAAAACCACGAGTTGCCTCTCCAGGTGCATGCCAACGGTAAAAGACTGTAATAAATCAACCGACGCTTGCTCATGACGACCAATCTATTGAGGATGTTTGTGTACATTGGGAGCTGTGTGCGCGCGCATTAGACACATGAAGAAGAAAAAAACGTCCCCTTGAGTTAAAATGTGTGCTTCACCAGAGAAAACGATAAAGCCGCCGTGACACAAGATACCTGCACTCCGGTTTAACTATAGACAAACGTGATAAAGGTACAGTCTCACAGAAAAGATCAGGTACAGGTGCGACCCTGTTATTTCTTGCTCACGTCACAGCTAGGCAGAAAGGCCTCGACTGAAGGGGCAGAGCTCCTCTACAGAGCTCCTCTGGAGGGTATCTTTGGTCTACTCTTCCACGCCGGCCCGATGTCTTGGAAGAGGTGGGGGAGGTGGTATACCCACACTTTATCCCAACAAATACGACTTGCCGATCAGCTCACTGCGGTTGCACCCTGGTATTCCTGCAAGTGGCAATTTTAAGATGCAGAAATTGCTCATTGTTTCAGCTGCTGTGCCGGGGGAGATCGATCCGGTCGGTCACCGGTGCGTTGCAAGTTCGGCGTGTTTGGACCATCCCACCAGGGGCAGCATCTCGTGTGCGCGAGGCACACGCTCTGAGAATTATTCTGAAAATGTGCCTCGCCTCTTGAGTCAGTGGCATTTTCAGCCATTAAAGGAGAGATGCAGTGTTGTCACAGCCTCTTGCACTCCTAGTTTAATTACAGTTTAATTCTAGATTTGAAGCTTTCGTGACTGCAAGGATTCATATTCTTAGGTTTTTTCGGTAAAGTCACGTAGGTAAAAAATGAAAATAAAAATGAATAAAAGTAAAATTAAAATAAAATAAAAATCACGACGTTTCGGAGGCAACACAAGCTTCCGTCTTCAGGTGGAACCGAATATTAATTACAGTTATAGCAAAAATAACGAATCCACAGTGTCACTGACGCACAGCGATGTTTCCAGAAAAGAACAAAAAATAACTACCAGGGCACGATTATTTATTTTAATATATGTGCAGAGAAGTTCCGACGGACGTACTCGGAGACGGAGGTGAGTTAAGGGCTTTCGCCAGGGTTTATTAAAGCTTATCAATAACACACATGGTGCACAACTCCCAGGGGCTAGGGGTCCTACTCTGAGTCCGGGTCCCTGCCGGCTAGCTCCGGTCTCTCTCTCTCGTGTCGGATCGGGGACTCTGCCGACTCCACCGAGCGGAGAGAGAAGCACCTCTACGGCTACCACCGGCTTTTCCCCAGACTCCCTATTCGATCCCTCTCTCTACCCCTGGTTCCCTCTTCACCCTGCTTACTCTACTCGTTCCCGCAGTGACCCCGCTTTCGTCACGGGGTCTCCCTTAAGTACCCTAGGAGACGTGACGTCATCGCACTGAACGGCACACCTGACGTCACGTCCCCATTTTACTCCTCTACATTTGTACATACTAAACATCGGGATGGTGGTTTTCGTGCACGGTGCTATGGTGGCGCGCCTCCACGTCACCTGCGCGCCTTGTCGCTGCCGTGATTAACATGAGCGGTGGAGGGCTGACGCCTGAAGCAGTGTTGCAACCTCGCGCCTCCCTCCACTTCACCGACCCGGTCGAACAAACAACGCGTGGATGGGGGGGGGGGAAGGAAGCGCCTTCGTCAAAGGGCGGATTGACTAAACGGGGCTGCGGATGATTGTCGTTGGGTTACAACATTTTTTTTTTCCAAAAAAATTCGCGGTGAGGATTTTTTTAATTTTGTTTACGGATTAATTTGCCACGGTTTCTCAGCAGAGACTTACAAATGCACGTCATCGGTTATCCGGCACCGCGCGATAATTATCCGGCTGCTTCCAACATTATCCGGCGGTCTGGCGCCGATCTGGCGAAACCTGCTCCAAAGGCGATCGGCAGCACCATGTAGCGTGACAGACACAAAAAAAATCCAGCTGCGCTTGATGTCAGTGTTTTAAATATTGCATATAGTACATTATACACTGCATAGAACTTAAGCAATGAAAATAATACGGTTGGTCATCGAATTATTCCGGTTGCTTTCATTGTTATCCGGCAGCCCCGGGCTTGATCCGGCGAAACGGCTCCAAAGGCTGTCACCAGTCCGGCAAAAGGCACCGTGCGTGTATGTGATACAAGTTGCCACACTTAAACAATGACAATAATGCACGTATCTACATCCTCCCGTTGCACAGAGTCTTCGAGATTGGAGTTGATGAGTGCGGTAGAGTAAATACGGTAACTTTTTAAAGTAGGATGTTGAGTTTTTTATGCCAATTTCAAATTGTGAACACATTTAAAACACTAAAAAAAACCCATACACAACACCTAAAAACAAAATTGTATGCAAGGATGTGCAAAAATAAGCAATAAAAAAAAAATGTTTAGTGATTATCCGGCGTTTTTTTTAAAATCCGGCGCTCCGTCCTCCAAGCCGCTAGATAATCGATGATCTATCTACTCTGTGTATTATGTACGTTGAACTTCTTTCGCACCGTACGTAGGCAGAGATGGGAGGGAAATTGAACAATACGAAGAATACGGACGATCCGGGAAAAAATAATAATAATTTTGGAGCTTTCGTGACTGCAGGAATTATTCTTTGGTTCTTTCGGTAAAGTCACGTATAAAGAAAAAATAATTAATTAAATAACAGCATACGACGTTTCGATTGCAACACAAGCAATCGTCATCAGGTATAATGAAATAGCGACATAAAATCTAACCAGAAAACTATAGACAGACATATAAGCAGACAGATATCACCAAGATACATAGAGAGAGCAACCCAGGTACAGAGAGGGCTGATCATCTCTGTGGGGTGGCCTTAAATAGACGGAGGGGGGCGGAGGCAGAGAGAGGGAGGGGGTAGGGAAAAAATGTACATGTCAATGAGTACTACGCGTCTCTTCGTACTCACTCAGTTGGACAAGAGTACACCAGGAGTGGCAGCACCACGATCGATTAATGATCAGTCATTATCAATCAACTTTCAGGACCAAGGCCTTCCCATGATCTACCTCAATCTCTGTTCAGT